AAATGCTTTGAAACTTTTAATTATCCTTCAAGTATCTGATCTTAGCTTATTTGGACTTGAATCAAGTCACTTCTAATATTTTTGAGTCTGTATCATTGAGATATTCAATTTGATTATAAATTTAAAGAAATTATAGATCAGATGGTCCTGCCTTTGAATTTGGAGTTTATCTGATTTGAACTGTATAGAAATTTGTGTTTGATTTATGCAATTTTTTTCCAAAACATATCATGAATAAAAACAGTTTCATGATTTCAAAAAACTCTTTTAATCAAATCAGGTTTATTTCTATTTTTTTATGGAGATGTTTAAAAATAATTTTTTATTTAAAATATAAATTATTTTAATTAAAAAAAAAATTGTTTGAAACTTTTTGCCTACTTTCTTTTCTAATTTTGCAATCTGTAGAGCAGCAAGTAAATTTTATGTTGAATTATGCCACATCCTAAGGCTGCAATATGTGCTTGTTCACCCTTCTTTACATGTGGAGATCCCTTACAAAATTGGAGTTTAAATCTTTCGCTTAAGCTAACTAATATGAAAATAAAATTTTGCATTAAAATTTTTTGACCAAAAGTCATGAAAAATAACTTCAAAAACTTGTAGTCCTAAAATAATTTATGAGATAAAAATTTTTAGATCATATTATCCCTGATTGATGTGTGCTAGAAGATTAACGGAGGCGAAGTGTTGTATTATCGTCTTAGCGTTTCATGAGAATTCAACACACACTCATATGAAAGAAAACAATTGATAATGACACCAGAAATTTTTACGTGAAAACCCAGAAAGAGAAGAACCACGCAATGTGGCCCAGCTAAAGAGTTTCACTATCAAAAGATTATTACAATTGCAATCACTTGTTCTACAGACAGAAAAATGTTACTAGGTTTCCCAAGTTGTAACGTCGAAGTGCTGATGAATTTGTTGCTATGAACGGGTGGAGATCGATAGTGATTGGCAATGTCCAATCGTTGATGTCTGGTGTTCAGCGGTGGTCGAAGGCTTTTTGTGGTGGTCGGTGGAGATTAGTTGTGATCGATGACAGTTGGCGGTGGTCAACCAAGATTGGTTTTGGTCGACGACGACTGACGGTGGTCCGTCGTTGACGATAGTCGTTAGTGGCGGTGTTAGACTTCAACTCCTTCTGGAAACTTCAAGCTCTTCCTCAAATCTCAAACTCCTCTCCCCCCTAATGAAACGAGTGAGGCTCTATTTGAAGAGTTTCGGGTGCAATTAATGCAGGAATATGAACCACTTTAATCAGATAGTCCAGAGTACATCATTTGATCAGCCGACGTTTGATAGACATTTGGATGTCTTAACAATGTCAGAATTGAGCAATATTTGGCTCGTTGGATTTCTCCTATCGAGACGCTCGATTCAACTATAAGTTCGTCATATTTAACATTCATTTAACCTTTCAAATATGTTCGGAAAGCTTTCAAAAATAGTTTAATAGCTTTATTCTTAATTTGGGTCGAATTAGACTTATTTTTGTATCATTGGGTCTACCTCATCGAGCTGGTCATTTCGACTATAAGCTTGTTGAAATCTGAACTCTTAATAATTTTTCATTAAGGTTTTTTTTTTTTTTTTGCTCAAAAGATTATCTCGAGAGTCGACGATGGATTTATTGATGACATATCAATGATCAATTGGCTAGCTTTCTAAACAATTGATTTTAATTATTAATTATAAAGGCTAACTACTTTGCCTTAATTTAAAAACAAAACCTTTTTACTAGTTTCATAACAAAAAAAGTTAGTAATTAACGAGGAAAATGATGAAATAGATATATATAAGGAAAAAAATGTAAAATGTTAGTAATTCACAAAAAAAAAAAAAAAAAATTTAAAGCTTACTGAAGGATTACAATAGGAAAAGAAAGAAACCATGTCAATTTGTTTTAAATGTATTAGGTGCCTTTGGTTGGGCGAGATGTAATAAAAGCTTGGGCTGAATAATCATAAATGGGTTTGAATGCAAAATGAACTCAATTTCAATCTCCCCAAATAACATGCCAGTATATAGTATGATGCAACAATTGAGGAAGAATTCCAATTGGTCGTTCTTCCTAGTTAGTGGAGATCTGCTTCTTTCTCTAATCTTAATTTATCAGTGATAATGTCATTAAGGCGTCATGGTCCATTTCTTATTTCCAATTAGAGATGTTTCATGCATCCGTTGTACAATCTTCGTAAAGTTCCAAGAACTTATAAAAAGCTTCACTGATGATGTCACTATCATGATGATAGGCATCATTGTAATTAGCATATTTAGGCGACAATGTCAAAAGACATGACAGTAATGTTAATTTATCCAAAATTAGCAGCCTTCGACCAGAAATACTTCTGTAGAAGTAAAAGAGAAGAGGAAAGAGGGATTAATCACTACTTGCCTCCTCAGGTGAAACCTGCCAACTTTAGGAGCAGGCTGTCAAAACAATTTGTTGTTCGTGAACAGCTCATGTCCGGCTCATTCGCTAAGTTAACGAGCCGAAAAAATATTTGTTTGTTCGTGTTCGGTTAGTTTTTGCTCAAAATACTACTCATCAAATATATATATATAGCTTTTTAAAAAAATTAATTGACTACATGACTATAAAGAATTATAATCAATTAAAATTATTAATTAAGAAAATAAAATAAAAATTATTAAATTAGATTCAAATGATGTTTTAATATAAACAATATTTTTTAAATATTGTCCCAATCCTTAACGTCTTTTGGTCTATTTTTTGGCTATGTGATTAGGGTTGTCAAAACGACTCTTTGTTCGTGAATAGCTCATGTTTGGCTCATGTTTGGCTCGCTAAGCAAACGAGCTGAACACGAGCAAGCCTACCCCTAATGAACGGTGGAAATCGAACACTATATGCATTTCTGCATACCATATAGAATAATTTTAGGAGATTGGATAGTGTGCATAAATAGAAAATTTCAGAGAGCCCAAAATGCATATAAAGATGGAGGTTTGTTAGGCTTACATCTATACTTTAAGTAAAGGAAAATTCAATATATAATAAAACAAAAGGAAGGCCCATCATTCCCCACTTCTAGAGATTGTTGATTAGTGAGTTCTATTTATGAAGCACACTATTAATTTAATTTAATTTCAAGTATAAATAATTAAATTTTATGAAAAAAATCATGAAATATCTAGGTATAGGAATGGCTGAAAAGAATAAGTATACATAGAACAATGATGAGTTAAGAAAATTAAGAAAATGAAGAGAAGCTATCACTTTTTACTATGAAACAAAGAGCACAATACAGTGGCTCTACACCAAGTCCATAAAATACTACGGCAACTTTGAGGCGCTTTGCTAGAGCATTGCAAACCTATACCATATTTTGAAAGATAGAGTATCAAGTATTGAGGTGCAACTGCACTAAAATTTAATGCTTTTCAAATATTCATTTAATAAGTTATAGTTGAGCTAGAAATGTGTTCAATTAGAGTTTGCAATCCTGTAAGAATAAAATTGAATATGATCTATTGAATAATGTTCACATAAAAGTATAGTGGATTAATTTAGAAGATGAAAAAATATAGTTATATAAAGAGATTAGAATGTGTAAGTATCAATTAATTGGAATAAAAAAGTTTTGATGAAATCATGAATCAAAATTTTTTATCATAATCATAAGTTTCAATGGAGTCGCTGAATGAAATTATAAAAAATATAACTTAGCAATTGATTACTTTAAGAAAAAAATAATATATCTCATAGGAATGATACTCGACTCATCATGTATTACTTATTCGGCATATGCACTTTCATTACAAGAGAGATAAAAGAGAGGGAGTGTAAATGAAGGGGAATCCTCTTTACATGGTTTAATCTAAATCTTTGCATGGTGAAAATTTTGTTGTAGTATATAATGATGGTGGATGATAATTTAGAAGAAGAAAGGTCAAACTTCTAAGCGGATGTCAAATATAGTCAATATAATGGCTTGATAATGATATTGTCCCTTTCATCCTTTAATAATGGGAGATTGTATATAGTGGACCTATGTTGCTTCAGTGATAATGGAAAGCAGGACATTTTCTAACTAGAATATTTATCAGAGCCATTGTTTTTAAGGCTTGATGGAGACTTCTTCTATTGGTTGACCAGAAGTTGTGTATGAGGCTATTAGCTAATTGGGAGCCAATTGGTTTTAGTATGATCTGATGAGTAGCATATGTCAACTAGTTTGAAGTTTTGATTATTGTTAGTCTCAAATTTTGTATCTTTTTTTATTTGAAATGAATTTCATATTTAAATAATCAATCAATTTTTATGTCTTGCTCATATCAAAATAAATTTAAGAAACTTAAAATTAAATCTCACTAAATTTTACTTAAAATATACTCCTAATAATAAGAACAAATCTCTAAGAAAATGGAGCTCAAAGCCCAACAATATAACTTCTACATTTGTTGTATATATTAATTTCAAAATTAGTATAGAGTGAATGCTGTTGGCACTTTTCATGGATGTAACAAAAATTTTGACTAGCATTTAGTTCAAATATATTAAATATATAACTAAGCGAAGCATCAATTTTTTGTTTTTTTAAGAACTACTTATCTTCTCAAGTTACTATTTGTCATCAGGAGGCATGGGGGCGCCTCTAACATCACCTCTAATGTCATTATTATTTTATTGTTGCTTACATGCCATCCAATTTCTGCCTAATTACATATCTAACATCAAAGCTTTATATTTTTTTACCATTATATGACTAAAATCTTTTATATCATTGCAAAAATATCACTTATTTATTTTTGAAGGAGTGAAATAGAAATTTTCATGCACAATGTGGTGGTGTGTGTGTGTGCTGAAGTTTAAATGTAAGCTATGTAAATACATAGGAATTGAGTAGCGTCTATGTGAGTATTTCTATTTTTAAATGTTATGATGGTGCATGTGGATCAAAAATCTCTGCCCAACAAATTATTATAAATTAATCAGATTCAATATTCATTGTGAGATGCGAACACAGAGTCAATGTTTATTCCATATTTTAAAAAAATCAAAATTTACAAGATTTACATGTACAAACGGTCCCGTCAGAGATCTCTAGTAACTCATCAAAGCTTATGGATCATTAATAGCCCAAACCAGTCTTCCTCCTGCTCTTCAATCTCACCAATTTCCAGACTGCAAACACAATAAATGTACTGTTCGATCAATGTTATTCAAGTTTCAAAATCAACAAACAATCGAAGTTCTGCATTCTTTTTTCTTCACAAACATTATAGCTTTTGTCATACAACTAATCTTATTAATTTTCCAAAGATCTACGCAGCCACACGAAGATATCCCCATACCATGGCAAAATAGAATCTTGATTCTCTGAGAGGCGGCAATTCATCTCTGATCCATCACTAAGCCAAGCTGGTATCTCCATCACCCCACAGAACATCTGAAATGCATCCCCTTTGCTGGCATCATCGCCATCATTGGCCTCCAACACATTTGAAAACTTGCTCCACCAAGCTGTCTTCACGGAATTCATTATGTCGTTCCACTCAATATCATGCTTCTCGCTTATCAATCTAATCTCCTCCATCTCCTCATCTCCCATAACTCGATGCAGCATCGGGTCGGCAGTAGAAGAGGAAGAAGAAGATGTTGATGATGATGATGATGACGATGTTGGTTGCTGAACGATAGGAGGTTTGGTGTTGCAGGAAAGGGTAGTTTCAACATTTTTGAAGCTATGGAGATTGAGGCATAGGCCCAATGGCTGGTTAGGGATAGGGAAACTGAAAAGTTTATCTGAAATAGGCAGGGGAGTAAACAGAGGAGACGTCCAAGAAGAAGAAGAAGAGAAGGGAGGGGAGTAAGAAGCATCAGGTTTTTGTGAAAGCGGCAATAGTGACTGCTGATACATGAGTTTCTCCTTCTGTTGTTGCTCGCTTGCTCTTTTCATGGCTGCTCTATGGAACTTGAGAGCTGTTACAATCTCTCTTCTTGCTTCTGCCATGTTCATCAGCCTGCTGGTGTTCAATCTTCTCCTAACTTGCTTCTTGGCTTTGCGGGTTTTCGAAAGGCCGTGGTCTCCGACAATGATCGCTGGAGCATTGGTGTGGGATCTTAATGAGCTTAGCTGCCTCATGTGAGAGCTGGAGATATGAGGCTCTTCTCTGAGCATAGAACTCTCCATCTCCATGCTGCTGCAATTGCTTGGCTTCGAGGAACTGTGATGCTTCATCTCAGTTATTTATTGGGAGTATGAAGGGATGGGAGGAAGATGAGAAGGAATAATCATGGCGTGGGGTCGAAAAGGGATTTATTAGCTTTGGATGCTAGGTGCATAATGTTGCAGGTTTTGGATAAAGGGTGAGGTCATATTCTTGGATGTTTTGCTGTTTTTTGCTTTTTATATTATTTCTTGCAACTTGAGGAATTATGGTAATAATTATTTTTTTTGTTTTATTCTGATTATTTCTACACTTTGGTGGTGTCTTGTAAAGATTTAGAAGCTTTTTTTGTAAGACTTGTAAGTTGTAAAGCACTGCAGGGGTTTGTATTATTAAGAAAATAGTTCCTAAATTGTTTCATTAAAAGTTGCTAAACAGCAAGCCGCAAAAAAGCCAAAATTTTGCGTTTGTATCTTCTTTATGACTTCGGGAACAATGTTACGGTTAGTAATTCTTAGGGGAGTTACAAATATACCATCCATTTTTATAACTGTAAATTTTATTTTTTATAATTATATCACTATTTCTTTTTTTTTTTTTCATGGAGGAGGTAAGCGTATATATGACTCATGAGATGGAGAAGTTGAACATTTAGTGTCATGGAGGAGGTAAGCGTATATAATGACTCATGAGATGGAGAAGTTGAACATTTAGTGAAGGAGGCCTGCATTTGATAGAATGGAGTCAGATGCACTATATCATCATTCTATGATGCCATTGATAGTAATTCCTCGGCTTCGTCTTCTTTCATCATCCTTCATTATCTTTCTCTCTCTTAGTTGTTGCAATTTCTCCATCCATTCTTTATAAATTTATTTCGTATCATTTTCTATAATCAAGTGAGTTTGATGTGAAGGATTTAGGTCCAATTAGAAAAATTCTTGAGATGAGAATTAGTAAGGATGTGAGTGGAGGTATGCTGAAGTTGTCCCAAATATACTATATTGAGAAATTCGTACAGAGATTCAACATGGGTGAGGCAAAACCAGTTTGCATCTCGTTCACCCAAAGTTTGAAGTAGAGATAGCACAAGGGCAGAACTTTGTATGTTTGAGCAATTGAGAGTTTCATGAATGCTATGATCTTTACAAGATTAGATATTACATTTGTAATGGGAGCGGTTAACAAATACATGGGCAATTCAAGCAGACACATTGAGAGGCGGTAAAGTTGATTCTTAGGTATTTGAGGGTAGCAATCAATAGAGCACTTTATCATGGAAGTGCATGAATTAGACTACAATGATGTGTAGATTTAGATCTAGTAGAAGAGTTGGATGATTGGAGAAGAACAATATGGTATATATTCACTTTGGGAACTTTTAGTTTTATTTTTGTTGATGATCATGCAGTTCTCAAATATTTAATTTTTTTATTTTTTACTTATTATTTATTTACTTATTTTATTTTATTAATTATTTAAATAATTGATCACGACATCAAAAGTGATATACTAGCTCACAATTTTAAAATATCGCTTTATATTGAATAAAAGAATTTTTAACATTTGTAAGATTTGTTGTTGAAAAATAGATCTTTCCAATACCTAAGTTGAAGACTATATTAAATTTAGATTAATCTGCATTGCTAACTTAACTATTAGGAGTTTGATTGTTCTTTGCTTGTAAACACTAATTTTATGATTTCCACGGCTTTCTTTGTGTTTACTCCAAACATGTGTGGTAACTACGTGTTTTCATACTTCTATGATTTGGTAATAAGATGATTCATATTCTATCCATGAGATCTATCTAGACTATTCAGTGATTTTATTCATGTTGATGCGTTAACAATCTTCATTTACTTTTGAATAGTACGTTTGGAATGTTAAAAATCCTTATCGTCTATGACCTTTGACTGTCGACAAGAAGTAAAAGTAGGTTAACACAATCAAATAGTAGAATAGAAATATTGACAGTGGGAGACTGCAGCCTCATAGGAAACCAGAGGATTTCTGATAAATGTTGCATGGTTAAATCAACTTAAGAGCTTCTAATGCTTTTTATGATCCTAGAAAAGGCTAAGGAGGATTTGTCTTTATTTTTGAATTATAAGTTGTGAAATTCATTAAAAGAATATTGATCATTCACATATTTCAAATCACATGATTATAGTATTTCATATAACTAGAAAACTCCAAAACATAGTTAGGTTTTTATTTATGCAAAAAATGATTTTGACACTTTCAAAAATCAAAAGCATTGAACACTTCAAACTAAACATAAAATCAATAAATTAGAACATTCACCTTTTTTTTGGAAATTAACAAGTTCTCTGCTAGACTGATACATTGACTCAAAAAATTGTATAGAACTTAATAGACATATATATTTACGTGATTGACGTTTGTTTCATAGCAACGCAATTTTGAATGAAATTCTTAACTATGTCATGAAAGTTTTGTTTTCAACTAAAAATGTATGTAAACTGAAAAGAAAAATTTATGACAAACACAACTATTGGGTTGTTTGGTCGACAACACTATCAATGAATGCATTCTAATACAAGAATTCTGGAAATTCAGTCGTTTGTTCAGAAATAATTATAGTTCAATGTAAAATTTTATTGCATTCAAAATTTAGCTCTTCGTTCATCTTCGTTGAATTTGTAATTTTACAAATTTGACCAAATTTTAAACACGCAGCTTAATGTAAAGTAATGTTTGTCGACTTACAGATTATTGTCGGTTATTGTCATCTATCATCGCCTTTGCTAGCGGTTATTACCGGCCGACACAAAAAAGTCAATGTTGACCGTCGCCCGTCACCACCAACAAGCCATCACCGGTTACCATCAGCTGTTGTCACATTTGCTAGTTGCCACCGTCGGCCAACTGCACACCCACATTACACCACTTGTAGTCGACCAATACCCGCTGCAGCTAGTTGAACACCACCTCCATCACCGGTCGCCGCACACTGGCCACCATTCAACGCTAGTTGCTGCTTGCCCACCGGCCACCACCAATCATTGCTCGCCGCCTTCCTGCTAGCAGCCACCACCATTCGCCCACCTGCCAATCCCTATCACTGTCGAACACAACTTGCCAGCCACCACCGCTACACAGCTCTGTCGTCATAGTCACCACACGTTACTTTTAAATATATTAATTTATTTTACTTCAAATCAAATAAAAAAAATAAAATCTTTTATTTCTTTACATCAAAATATTTTTAATACTCAATTACACTTTATATTTGCATTTTATTCATAATCAAGGCACGACACAAAAAAGTTTTAAGCACAAAAAAAAAAAGAAAAAACTAACAAACAAAAATACCGAATAATCTAAAACTGGTTTCTCATCCAAAGATACATTTTTATAATTATCCTCATCTAAATAACAGCATGCGCCAAAGAAATAATTAACAAGTGATGCAATATATAATGCACATATGAAGGGAAAGGGAGAGGAGAATTCGGCGGAAGGATAAGATAAAAGCAGAAAAGCAGGTTGGAAATTGCAATTGCACCTTACTTCTGAGAACCTAACTCTGTCTCATCAAAATTACAAGGTGCGGAGTGCTGAAATGAGGAGAGAGAGGGCCTGACTCTCTCTCATTTCAACACAATCTGCCATATATTTAAATTCTATTTGGTGCAGTTTTAGTTTCTAAACTTTTCAGCTGCAACTGTGTTGCCCCAGGAAGCTACTGCGGGAAAGCTGATTGTTTGTTTATTGCAGTTGTGTGAAAATAGCTGTGGAACATCTGTTTTTGAAAAATTGACCACTCTGCTCTTGTTCACTAAATTGGTTGTAACAAAATTGGGACACACGTATATTTAATATTTTAGAAGCAGAAACTCATTTCAAAACATAACAAAAATTCAGATACATCATTCATTAAACAGTAAGTACCAAAAGCGCCACGAAAAAAAGAAAAACTAATAAAATTACAAGTAAAATAATGATGATATTATTTTTAACATGAAAGCGATGGATGTCTCGTCTTAAACTGTCCTCTAATTGACATAAAACAATGAAGTTTTTGAATAACATACTCTTCTTCTCATCAGAATGTCACAGGTGGTACCACTAGTAAGTTTCAGTTGCTCTGAATCAAATTAAACATATTTGCTCTAGTTGTGACGCTAAAAAACAAGAAAAACATATCTCACATTATTGTCTCATTCTTTCTACTTCTCTGCCTCATTTTGCAGTGTGTGAATTGCCTTAGGTGATAACACTAGTAAATTTCAGTGTTTTGGAAAAGTATTATACATATTTCCTATTAGTAGTGAGGCCAAAAATAAAAGGAAACCAGGGAAAGATCCACCACACCAAAACCATCACCATATAGAAGCACTAAACCAACAATATACAGCCGAATCTACAGAATGCAGAGCAACGACGAACGGAAATGTCTCAAAAAATATAGGGAGGGGGGATGTGATCCCGACTGTCTATATGCAACAGTATAACAATGACTTCAATGATCTTTTTCACTTATGAAATTTTACTTTACAATAGAATTAAAAACTTGATCATGGAGAAAATAAAAATTTAACTTTTAATTTATTTGTATATTAAGATACTACGCAAGTATACGTATCGTTATCAAGTAATATAAGATTTTTTTATTAAGACTTGAATATCGAACTCACAGGGAAAATACACAATATGCACAAACTTTTCTATTTTTAAAAAGACAATTACTTAAATTATAGATATTTTCTTAATAAGTAAAATTCAATTCTCGTTGGTATTTTTGATATTTTGACAAAAACAATAAAACTTTTAAATATAACTTGAGTTTATGTAAAAGAAAAGCACTTGATATGAAAATATATTTCTTCTTATCATGAATTTATAATAAGTATAGGATTTCTGTTGTGGAAGTATGCAAATTGTGTTGTGTCAAATAAGAAAAATAATGTTTTTTATCCTTACTAGAGATGTTATAAAGAACATTGGCTAATTTAAAGTTTGAATTCTTCTGAAAGCCGGCTAGGTAGCAAAGATACCAGCTCTCACTCTAGAGTTCCCTCGATTCCCTTCACCTGGGGGCTAACATCTCGTATCAGAACCTAAAATAATAAACCAA